TTTGGGGTTTAGGGTTGAGGATTTCAAGCTCAACCTGCTCATCGTCCAGTCTCATGTGCTCCACCATGCAGCCCTATCCGACTTATAACAAGGATCCTACTATACTACCTACTAAAGGGTCATACCCTACCCTTTTTNNCTTTTCTATATAGCAGATCCTAACCATAAAACTAGGTACCTTAAAAAAGGGGTAGGGTATGACCCTTTAGGTATTGAATGCATAGTATGCTGAGGGTTGTATCATGTGGATTCCTTAGTCTCTCCCGGATTCAGGGTTGGTGTCCACGACCTGGACCTTGCAGGAAATCGCTTGCACGATTGTGTAGTGGTTGCTGCATCTCTCATGGCCCTAAGATTTCGGATCAGGGCTGCTGGAAGCTCCTTCAATAAACCCCGGACTTCAAAATAAGACCCTAAACCCTAAACCCTAAACCCTAAACCCCGGACTTCAAGAAGACTCTCTGGAGTGTCGCGCAGAGCCGTGGGACAGCAATTTCAGAACCTGAGCCCCAAGAGACCCTACTGGTGGCACCCTGAACCTCCGATCCGGCAACCCTATAAGGGTTTAGGGTTCAGGGTTTAGGGTTTGGGGTTTAGGTTTTGGGGTTTAGGATTTGGGGTTAACTATCCATGGGCTCCATAGTAGTTCCTTTTTGGGACTACCTTACAGGATCCTAAATACAAAACCCACAAGAAGGAAGTATAATGCAGCCTATGGGTAGGTATATACTATGGTTCTATAATTTCGGCGCCGTAGTGATGAGAAGAAGTCTCTGTTTAAGGAGTCCTCGCAAGGCCTCGATGAAGGAGCGAGCAGAAAAGCGTGCCATGTTTACTTTGTTTAGGGTTTAGGGTTTAGGGTTTAGGGTTTAGGGTTTAGGGTTCAGGACATTTCGGATGATTCCTGAAGGTGGTGGGGGGATGGGTGGGGAGGAGGGAAAATGACGTTTGTTCTAACGGCGACCATGCCCAAGGAACTGGTGTTTGAAGCCGCTTAGACACTTTAAACGTAAAGTACTGGCGGAGGATGCGTGATGTTGGTGCACTGTCGCACGCGCCCCTTGTGCGAGCAAGCCCAACCCGACCAAACGCTTCGCGACTTTTATACAAATTAATTAAAGGATGCTTTTAGGGTTTAGGGTTGAGGGGTTTAGGGTTTAGGGGTTTAGGATTTAGGGTTTGGGGGGTTTAGGGTTTAGGGTTGCATTTCTACATTTCTGGCATAGGACGCACTGTCACAAGCGTTATGCCTTACGCGAGCATGCACGAATCACTGGCAGTTACAGCTTTTTGCCTCCTTGCACTACATGGTTCGGAACGATATGGTGATGGTGCTGAATTCAGGATGGTGAGGAGGAGGATGATGATTACGATCACGGCATTCACTACAAGAGCGGCACTGGTTGAGTGAAGTCTTGCCCAACTTCCAATAGTTTCCGGCAGGCAATACCGTTACTATGATGTAAGGAAATGATATATGGGCCTTAACAATTAGAACAGCTTTCGTTTAAGGCTTCTTTAAGGGTTCTTCAAGACAAACTGATGTGTAGGAGGGGGAAGTTTTTCCAACTCATGTAGCATATGGTCTGGGGGTATATTCTACTATGCCCATATGTTCAGTAATGGTTCTTTTTGGGGATTAGCTTATAAGAGCCTCATGTAAGCCTAAACCACAAAAAGGAACTATAGTGGAGCCTATTAGTAATGATACTAAGGAACCCTAAGGATCACTTTACAAAGTAGTCACGCCGCCATAATGCGGGGCTCAAGAAGGCTTGGGATTCTTGTTGGGGTTCCTCTGAGGGATCTGAAAAGGGTTCTGCAGAGGGATTCGGGTTTGGAGTTCAGGATCTGCGGTTGATAGCATTATAGGGTTTGGGGTTCAGGGTTTCGGGTGTAAGGCTTAGCTGCTACGCACCAAGCATACCAGGATGATACGTGGTACTGCTATTGCCACAACCCGTCCGTCTATCAGCAGGACTGTGTGGCCATCATCATTCTCATCATGATCACACAATTTGCAAGCTTTCGACCGTCTTCATCAGATCATCGACATCGCAACCTGATCACACAATTTGCAAGCTTTCGACCGTCTTCATCAGATCATCGACATCGCAACCACCTTGACAACTTGAAAACACGTGTCATTCGTTTTAGATTTGCAGGCTTCTAGGTACCCCTAAGGCTCCATGTACCTATATACTAACGGTTCTTGTTGCACTGCTCAACAGTGGCAACGCGATGGGCGCTATCAACATGCTCCTTCTGCTCTTCATATGAGAATGCTACTTGTAGCGATAGTAACAACAGACGGTAGTAAATGTTAGGAATACTCAACAACTAGGAAGAACAGTCATAATAGTGATAACAATGAAAGCAAGTGTTATTGTAGTATCTTGCAGTACTACTACCTGTAGTCTCCATTGTAGTTCCTTTTTGGGGATACCTTATAAAATCCTGAATATATAATTGGTTAAACCAAAAAAGGAACTTCAATGGAGACTATAAGTGTAGTCAATTATTCCTAGCCTAAACTCTAAACCCCAAAGTCCTTTATTCCTAAACCCTAAGCCCTATAGTCCCTTATTCTCCCCATCGGTAATGCATGGATCTTCTCCCTAAACCCCAAACCCTAAACCCTAAACCCTGAAATACATTTGGGTGGTTGTCAAAATTAGGGTCCCTTTTTGGGTCCTTAGTATAATACGGCACCTATTATTTAGGGTACACCAAAAGGGACCCTAATTTTGACAACTACCTGCATGAGCCAGGCAGGATTCATCTCGAAGACTTGGCACGGAGCCTCAACAGCGGCGAGGTCCCCAGCAGCAGCGGCGCGCACGAGCCGAAGGTCCTGATCTCCAAGAGGGCTTAGACCAGAGGTTTATAGGGTTTAGGGTTTAGGGGTTTAGGGTTTAGGGGGTTTAGGGTTTAGGGGTTTAGGGGTTAGGGGTTTAGGGGGTGAGACCCTAAACCCTACACCCGAGACCTGTGGGTTCAGTTGTTTCGGTTTGGGCCTTGGGGGGTCATGGGGATCAGGGTTTAGACGTTAGGGCTCAGGGTAGGTGCCTAAAGACTCTAGGTGATGGGGACTGGAGGCCCGAAACCCGAAAGCTTCAGAGCTTGGGGTTTAGGGTTTAGGGTTTAGGGTTTAGGGTTTAGGGTTTCGGGTTTAGGGTTTAGGGTTTATCCTGGTGTATAGGAAAAATCAAAGGCTCAGGGCTTGAGGTGCAATCTGGGGGACCTTCAAAAAAAAACAAGACTAGCTGCCTCATAATTCGGCCTAAGGACAAGAAACTGATTGCAATGATATAGAGCCTTAATAATTAGAATAGGGTTTGGGGGATATATTATACTATACTCATAAGAAGGACCCCCCCAACATAGTATTTAGGCCCCTATATTGCCTGCTAAAACCCTAGACCCTAAACCCTAAACTCTAAACCCAAAACCCTAAACCCAAAACCCTAAACCCAAAACCCAAAACCCAAAACCTTAAACCCTAAACCCTATTGGACAGCTTCGGACTGAAGATGTGGCGTGTATGGCTGGGCTTCACATGGCATCCAAGATCTCAGCCGTTTGACTGTTTAGGGTTTAGGGTTTAAGGGTTTAGGGTTTAGGGTTTAGGGTTTAGGGTTTAAGGGTTTAGGGTTTAGGGTTTGGGGTTTAGGGGTTTAGGGGTTTAGCTCCTGAAGTCAGAGGGTCCATACCCAAAGTCTCCATAGCAGTTCCTGGTTGTGGTCTATATTTAGGATCCTGTAAGGTAACCCCAAAAAGGAACTACTATGGAGCCTCTCCCAGAGGGTCCATATGTACTACCATTATGGAATTACGGTCCCAAAGACCATCCTTAGCATGGCTTTGGGGACTTATTCCATAACAGTAGTATATATGGACCCTCTTGGTATGGGTGTCTACTACCATGATGGAATTAGGTCCCCAATGCCCCCAAACCCATTTATAATTTGGATCATCTTTGCAGACATGATTCTGTCATGGTAGTATAGATGGAACCCTAAACCCTAAACCCTAATTCCATTATGGTAGTTAATAGATGCACCCGCTGGGGAAGTCAGCTTACACCCGCCTGGCCTAAGCTCTTCACCGGACCTAAAGATTTTCCAACTTCAGGGCTTGGATTTGAGGTTTGAAAACTAGGAGTTTAGGGTTTAGGGTTTCGGGTTTATAGCTCTGGGAGTAGGGTGTAGAGTTTATTCCTCGTGTTTTGTGAATCGTCTGCCCCTGCACCTCATCGATAGCTCCGTGACCACTAGACCAAATCCATCTTCTTGGGTCCTACAAACCCACATGCTTGAAGTCTCTGAACTCCGAAAACTGTCCTTTTGGTAAACCTTTAAAAACTAAATCAAAAAACCGTCCTTTTGTTAAACAT